TTACAAAATTTTTTAGAGGTTGCTATCGAATTTTACAACAAATTTTAACCAAACAAAAAATTTAAATAATTATTTTTTTGCTGAATGAGTTAGAAAATTTGCTGAAATCTATTGATACCATTAATATCGTCATTAATCAGTTATTGGGAGTAAAAAACCTTCAAAATATTTTGCGAATTAGTTAACTAAATATATCAACTTGAATTTCTTGATTTTCACCAATCGTTAATTTTTTAACAGTAACTAAAAAAAAAACGAGAAGGAACGTGCGAGTCGCTTCCCGGGACGCGACTTATACTTATACCCGTACTCAGTCAGTATATACATTTTTGAGCAAATGATTTTTTAGAATAAAAAATTACTAGTACATTTTTTGCTACATCTGATATCTACATCTACATATATTATGTATATTCTACATCTAACAGAGAACCCGCCCCCCCGGGCCGCCGGGGGCAGGGTCGAACGAGGGGGGGGGAAGCAACTGAAAATTAATTTCTTCATTCTGGCTATAATTATGATCCGATCTAATTCAGATTCGGCAATCTGGTAGATATGGGCATTCTCTACGATACGGCGTTTTTAGTTTTATCGTAACTTTAAAAATGTGCCTGCCACAGATTTTCGTTCTTTGTGTGGGTCGGGGCGAAATTTTGAAATACACTTGTAGCAGACACTTCCAGACATGAGTCTGGAAACCAAATTTGGTTGCCCTAGCTTTTATAGTCTCTGAGATCTAGGCGCTCAACAAGACGGACAGACAGACAGACAGACAGACATGGCTATATCGACTCGGCTATTGATGCTGATCAAGAATATATATATACTTTATGGGGTCGGAAACATTTCCTTCTCTGCGTTACACACATCCACTTTTACCACAAATCTAATATACCCCTTAACTCTTTTTTGAGTACGGGTATAAAAAATACCTTATTATCAATATGAACTAGTTTCTAAGTTTCAATATTATTTGAAAAAAAAACCGACGAATTCAATTTTTTTAATATATATTTAACCAAAAGAGTGTATTTTATCTTCGTGGTAGCAACCCTCAAATATGAAACTAAGGATTTTAGATTGTATAATTTTATTTACTAACAAAGAACTGAATAATGGGTGTGCGCTTGCAATAACAAAAAAAAAATGTTGGATACAATTTTTGCCCAGCCAAATTGAATACTTGAATACTTCACGCTTAACCAAAACACCCGACAGTTAAAACATGTTCATATGTTTTAAATACTAAAAATTTTAGCTAGCTGAATTTTAAAAAAATTGAACCGGAGAAGGATATCTTCTTCACATATCTTACCTCTTCTGTGGCATTCAAGGCGTTCGATAAATGCAACAGACGCAAGCCTCAGAGACCTGGCAAAAACAATTGCCAGTGAGCCGGCTAGGACTCGGGGAACTCCCCAAGTACCTTTTCACACATGAGCGCCCAGAGGCTGTCAGGATGGCACAGAATAGAACAGACGTTGGTGGTTGGGTGGATGAGGGCTGTTTGGTCTCTCCTCCCCGAAGGCTGTTGTTGTAAATCACAAAGTGAAACCGAAACCGTTAACGTGTTGCGGTTACGGTGCTGACTCTGTCGTGTGGCAAAAAGGGACACACAGAAAATCAGAAGAAAAGGAGGCAAGAAGAACTGAGGCAAGTCATTCCATTTGTGCGGCTTTATTAAATGCGTCACAGGGGAGGGGAGAGGCAGTAGGCAGAGTTGGGTTAGGCAACGTTGGGGGGCAATGTCCTGTCTCGGATTTTTTATTGCGATTTTTTCGCAATGTTTTGGGTCTTTGTGTGAGTTTATCAAACTCCTTACATTTGTTTTCCTGCAAAATGGGGGAAGTGCCGCCCTGCCTCGACCGACAGCAAACTTTTCTTATTTAATGATTGCTTTTAGAGAGCACAATCGATGGGGGAAACCAGGCCTGGTTTCGCATTTCAACATGAGAAATGTGAAATTGTTCCAATTCCTTATTTTTTCCTTCTTCTTCCGCCCTGCTCGTATGGCCCAAGATTTGTCAATTCTTTGACACAATGATGCATAACGTTATCTGAGATTTGCGGACTAAAAAAACAACATCACCAACAACGAAATCAGTTTTTGAGAATTAATCTTCTTAATGTTTGGGTTTCATAGCCCCGAGTACTAAGTAGAATGCTTAGACCTTGAAATCACTTAATGCGATTGCCTTATGGCGCTATACGGGGGAGTTTCTAAAATGGGTCGCTAATTGCTGCACTCTGCTGTATGCTGTATGCACCTTGACGACGGGTATCTAGGAGACGAGACCCAATGCACTCTGGACGGGATAATCACATCAGCTTCTGCACGATTTAACAGCAACGCAATTTTGACGACCGTTCATATGGCAACCGATTGTCTGCCCGTCCATGTCCATCCATAGCTCACACTTTTAATGCACGGTACATATTTGTGGAATACAATGTACATGGTGCGAAATGCTGACTGTAGAATGCACTTTCCGAGACATTAAAATTCGAATGAAATTAATATCTGAGCTACAAATGAGTCTACGTTTGGGTACCTAGAGATCCTGTACAGCTCGAAACCCCAATGAAATAGAGTCCCTCCATGGAGTGTCCTTAAATTGAGCATACATACAGATAAAAGGGATTCTAGTATAAGTAAGAACCGGGTTTCTCAAAGCCGGAATACTCGACTGTCGCGCCTCTACTCTACGTCTTATTTCGTTATACTAAACACTTTTTTGGCCTCGCATTGATTGCACGAGAATTGCGCAATTTCGTTCACTGAAAGCATTTCAGAAATATTGCACAATGATATTCGAATGGGGGGGGTCTAGTGGTGCTTCTGTGCCATGACGCTGCCATGACGCATAAGCTGCGATAAAAACTGTTGTTCGATAAGCATTTTGTTTGCCCTAAGATGGGAGTTGTTATGGAGTCTGTTCCCCAGCACAAGTCATGAACTCTTGTTCAGGGAGAGAGCTCAATCAGGAAGGAACATTTTTTTTGGAAGCCATATCAAATCAATAACTTTGTAAAGTTCTTTGAAAATGCTAACAATTGTACGAAAATGTTTATTGTTGAAGGGGGAAATGACAAGGCAATAAATACATTTGATATCCAGAAAGAATTTTATTTTGTTGGTATAATTGTGCCAGAAGTTTCCTATGTTTAATGTAAAAAATGTAAAGAACTAGAAAAACAACGAGTTTGTTTGTATAAACACAGTAATAAACGACAGCAGAAATCTACTGGCTTCTGAAAGTAGGATTACTTTTTACATGTCCCACTAATTACGTTGACCGTTTAAACCTTCTCTTAACAAATTCACTTACTCTACATTTATTTTATTCTAATTGGTGATTTTTTTATAATTAATTCATAGTCCAACTTACAGAGGGTCGAAACTGATTCGCTTGCCCCTTTGTGATGTCCTTTAGAAAGTCCCCAATGAATCCCCGTCAAAATAAGCTACGATTTCTGTTTTTGCGAATTTGGACTGCCATTTGAATGCCTGTCTTCTGGCTTAGTATCACCCACACGCCCTCCACTAACATTCTTTCAAATACACCCATGCACACACAGTCATAATATTCATTATGAACGGCTTAAACGATTTCCCCTGGGCCCACGCTAAGCCTCTTCACAGTGATTGCAGCTCCCACCCAAACCCCAACCCACTCCCAAGACCATCCCCACGTACACACACATGGAGACACTCATGCATATGCACAGATATATTTCCTCCAGTTTTATATACTTACATATACTTTTTTTATGAAAGCCCTTTTGAATGGAATCCGATTTGAGGCAGTGCAAAAAAATTACTTGTCAGCAAATTGGCAGACCGAAATATGAACGAAAAGCAGGAAAACCAATTCTCGGCCTGATTGTTGGCCACATCAATCAGATGGATCCATCCCCTCGCCTTCTTATGCCTGTCATGTTTTACATACAACCGAAAATGAGCGGAAAACATGAAAATAATAATTAACATTCATCATTTTTGTCTGCCCGGCACGTGAATGCTCCAAATGGACATCATTGTTAGCTCCTGACTCCGCTCCCTCGTTTTGCTAATGAAAATAATCTGTCATCAAAGCCGAAAAGCCACCCCATGTGCGAACAGGTGTGCCGTTCCCCCTTTAAATCCTCTGCCTGGCCGCGTTCTCCCATAGATATGTATATGTATATGGATACAGTGACTCCCAACTATTAACTCAACATAAATTGTGGGCGTGTGCGTGTGCGAGAAGGGTTGAGACTGGGAGAGGGTCTACGATTGCTGGACGGAAATTGCATTTGTGCGGGTCCAAATCAGATAAGATTCAGCGACGACGTCCTCCGCCAGGATATGACATTAAAAGCGCATCAAAGCCAGGACTGATTCCAGCCAGAAGTTACTCATCCAGAGGCTTCAGGGTCGGAAACTGTTGCCGTAATTACATTGGAGGCGGAAAAAAAACCAGAAGAAATTTAATAAGAGTATGGTCAGGCCGACGATGAGATACTCTAAAGAAAACTCTTCACTTTTTGTGGCTATTTTATGAAATTGAATATTAATAGAAAAACTGAAATGCTTTGTTTGTGAATATTTCACCGGGTGAATATTTCCCCCCAGCATCAATGGTGGTAGCAGCGTCTTTTTCCACAACAGTTGCCATCACATAAGTTATGCGACATAACCGAAACACCCTCAATTGCCATTTTCCGCCCAGAATAAGAAGCTCGTTCCTGGTCATTTGCGCCCCACTCAGCGGCTGCTGGTCGGGCACATTCCCCCCCAAGGCTCAGCCTTGATTTGGCCTTTGTTTGCGCCATTAAATTAAATATCCCTGCCCAGTAGCTCGACCTTTGACTGTATGCTCATCCTGTCCTTGGCTCAATGCTAGCAATTTCTGTCATTTCCTTAATAGAAATCTTATCTTTTGTGACGCCCCTCGTCTAGCGCCTAAGCCGGATATCGCACCTTTGACATCTGCCCTTTGCCACCTGATGTAGCAGGCTGGGCTCAGCTATTCATTGTATACATCGATAACTGACTTTAGAAAAAGTATTTTGGAAAATCATGAAATAAATTTTATATTTATTAAACTTAAGAAGATTTTGACGAGCAATATGAGCTGTCCATCCCCGACCCCCACTGGCTGCGATTGCGGTTCGACATTACAGTTCAAGAAGACACCACAGGCGCCGCTTTACGATTTGCTGGGACCCTATCCAGATGAGATCATCATGTCAACGCTGGATCGTATTTTATACTATTCAGGGGCTACTAAGGTCATCCGAATGCTGGCCATGTCTGCAGGCGGTAGGTGGTGCCATCTCTAGACCAATTCTCCTATGAGTATTATCGTTCCACAGCCCCAGTAGACAACACTTCCGCCGAAAAATGCGCCACGACCAGCTGCGGCGCCGTTCCAAGTCCCGTTTGCCCATCTACCTCGGCCACAACCTGCTGTTCTCGGCCGCCCAGCTGCAGTAGTCATCGAGAAGTTCCGTTAGCTCCCTGCAAGCCGAAGCCACCCTGCATCAATATGGCATCCAAAAAGCCAGCTTGCTGTAATCGCTCCACCTCCTGTTTCCCGCGCCGGCGGTCTCCGCGTGTGGACTTTGCCAATCCCGTGGATGACTGCGGGACGCGTAATAAAGGCGGCGAGTATCTGCTCGGCGAGCGCACTAAGGAGTCGCTGTCAGCCTGCCCCTTAGCCTATGAGCGACTGAAGTCGAAACTGTCGTCAGGGGCCAGCCTTGCGCCGTCCAAAACCCAAAAGTGGCTGTGGACGAGACTAGTCAGCGCAAGGGATGGCTACATGGTGTACGAGGTATACAAGGATTCTAATGCCGACCAGGACCCCAGATCCCAGATCGCCGACAAAGGATCACCCGTAATAATATTCCTGGTCTTGCCAAACGGGTTTATTATGCCGTTTGAGTCCATCTTCACGGATTAGTGGAGCTTCGTGTCCTTTCTATGCTTAAGCCTTTTGCAAAACAATTGGAAAAATAATTTTTATTAACAGATCTGGGGGCCCATCTTCTAAGCTATCCTAATACGCTTCTTAAGCATAATAAAGACCATCATAGAACAGATCAGCATGTAGGCGAGCAGGATGAATACACACTCAACAGTGGAGCGGTTATTGGGGTCGAAAAATATGTTGCACATTCCCGTGAGGATGTTGGACAGCAGGAAGTAGATCAAGCCATTCATGTTTAGGCTCTCCACAAAGGTGGGAAGGGAATTGGTCGTTTCCTTATGACAATCTCCAAATGTAGGACGCGTCTGCACAAAAGCCAACTCAAAGAAGAAGGCAGAGATGAGGATGATTACCACGGAGACAGCCAAAACCCAAATCACATATCCAAAGTTGAACGTGACCCGAGCTATGCCCGAGAGGAAGGCACTGAGGAATACCATAGCCCAGAGGAGAACAGCAATCAGGAGGATTCGCTTCAGCTTTGAGCACAATTGCTTGTAGTGCAGATGATCCTGGGAAGTGTACCACTTGGAGAAGTAAATGCTGAACAGGTAGAGAGCAACGCAGCCGGGTAAGGAGCTCAGGCCTTCTCTGTTGGAGCTGAGGAAGTCAAGTCGCGTCACCGTATCCGACATCACATAGTCGCATAGACCCAACTGCATCACTAGTTCGTGCATAGAGAGAATGCCTGAAAAAGAACGGGGAAATCACTAGACATTTACTATGAACATTCTCAATCGTACCTACCCATAGCCAGTCCTAACAGCTGTACATCTGAGCTAGCCAGAAGACTGGAGAGAGTGCCAAATAGTTTGGTTAGTCCCAGGATGAAGAATGCGTTCATATGCATTCCATACTCGTGCACATCCTGGCTATAGTTGATCCGCGATATTACGATTGTGCGTGCCAGACCCAGGAGCAGCAAAGGAACCACCGCCCTGGGCAGCTTCTTCAAGTCGGCATAATTCCGGGCCCGATGCGACACCAAGCCCATTGTGACCACAAAAAAGCCAATGCCCAAGTCCATCAATGAGGCCCCAAAAGTTCGACTCTTGCGAAACCGTAATGGAAAGGCTGGAAAGTCCACCGCCAGGATAGCAACACTCGTTCCACAGTTGCAGACGGCCCTTAGCAGGGTGAAGACCAGAGGGCGCTTTCCCACCTCATACTTCGCGTTCCTCAACCCAACTGCTGGCCGTGGACGCAGATACCATACGAGGCCCAGGCAAACTGCTATGGAGTACAAGTGGAGGAAATCTCTGCATACCATGAAGAAAACAAGAGTTGGTATAGCAACAAGCATGTACTCCAGAAGGAATCTGCGCGTCGACAGCCTCGGCAGATGCGCGCAGAGCATTCGAGAAAGCACGAAACCCAGCAGCACCGGTAGCGATGCAATAAGGCTATCCACACTTTCTTTTATTGAACTCCATGACTTTTTATTCATTACTAATACCTCTTGATCCATGCTTAAATATTGTTCCATTGTTTCCAACGACCTGCATGTGCCTTGTCCCAAGTATATTTGAAATATGTGAAGGGGCGCTGACAGGTAGCACTTTGTAGATGTGTTACAGGCGTCGTAGAAAAGCTGAGAGTCAGAGCCAAGGGCAGGCGACGATGAGCTTAACCAGCTCATGATACTATAAACGTAATAAGATTGATTATAAGGGCAAACTTACAAACAATTATCACATTTACACAAAATTTGTTTCCTGACCCAAAAAAAACAAAACACTAGTGATGAGAGTTCATCGATAGCGTCGAAATTAAATACACACGTAGCAATCAGCCTCTGAGCGCACGCAGCTAAATCCCGAAAATCGGTTTCAGTTTTTAGTATTTTAACGCACAAATTATTTTTAATAATTATTCTAACGTAATTTACTTTGGAGTAGTTAATTTAACTATTATCTCAAGCCATTTTTGTTTACCTCATCACTTGGAATTCATATCAATCAATGTTCGCAGCAGCCAGCCTTTGAGCGCTGGCGGCTCATATTCGGTCACACTAGTCGATATTTAAATAATACCGTTTTAATATTTGGGTCTAGCAAATAATTAAAAGAAATGCATTGGGATCACAAAAAGGAACTACAGCTCGTTGTGCTGGGGCACACGATGATTCTCTGGCGTATCCAGCATATCCTGGGGAAAGTCTTTATGGGAGCGAACTTCGCTAGCCGCTTCGGAAACCAAGTGCAAAAATTCTTCTACATCAAAGCGATAGTTTGTGAATTTTGCATGTGCGCCGCCTTCTGGATGATGTCCCTCGTCTTGGGGGAAGACTAGCTCCCGGTTCTCCCAGGTGCGATAGCGAACACCACGCAACCGAGAAAGATCCTTGTAGCAGTTGGGGTCCTCGCAGTTGTACAGCTCAAAAATGCATGCCCAGTTGGGCAGAAAGAGCAAGTGCGTCAAGCCGGCGCCATGCATTCCAATTAGAATGTCTGTGTTTCGTGTGATGGCCAGCTGTTCGGTAAAGGAGAGCCTGCAAAGATTGCACAGCTATCAACAAAAGCATAATTTCAATTTTAAGTTTTTTACCGCTCATAGGAGACGCGCTCGACCAAGTAATCCTCATTTTTTTCCAGCTCTGACAGTAGATCCAGCTCGTTGAGCACTTGACGATACTTTGTGCGACGCGAAAGATAGGTGATTCGCAATCTGCGTTGTGGCGGTTTGAAAGGAATCTGGAGGCGGTGCAAAATGAACTCTGAAAAGGCGCGAAACAACCCGCTATTCGAGCAGCCCTGGATCTGTAAGAAGCAATATATGTATCAGTAGGTACACATCCCAATCAGTAAATTTCTATTTTTACTATGGGCGTATTGTAGAACAGCCCAAAGATCATGCGTGGCAGCAGCGGCAGCACAATATTCCGGAAGCAAACTCGCTTTCCCTCCAAATCACTCAACGTCCAAACGGGTCGCTGGGAGAAGGCCTTGAACGTGTCCCGGAACGGCGAGTCGTATGGATATGTCTCCCAAATAAGGATCTGAACATCAGTGTTAAAGGCGGCCGGGTGGGACTGGTTGACAAAGAGCGAAGCATACAAGTTGAAGAAGTCGCAGAAATGGTGATACATGTTGTACGTCGCGTCGATTTTCATGATGAAAGTGGGCGTATTCACGACTACGTCGCACAAGTGGCTCTCCAGCACGGGCTTCGGCAAGACTGCAAAGTTGCGCAGCTCAGGACCCCACGACTGCAGGGCAGACCCAATGTGGTCCATTTCAGCCGAGAGACGCGTTCGATTCAAATCACAGTGACCCAGCAGTTGGCCAGGACTCAGCACATCCATGTGATAGCGAATGCGCTCCTCTCGCTGGGCCACATCGCGGAGATCGAACAGCAGATTGCGTCCCCGGCAGAAGCGGAGATATCGCGTGCATTCCAAGGACGAGTCGGTGAGGTATTTGGGCATGCACATCGGAGTGAGCTCCAACAACTGCTGCTGTATGTAGCCGAAGTCAGCCTGGTAGTAGAAGGTCTGCATCTGAGCCTCTTTGCTTCGCGCCCATCCAGTGTGATCCCCGGCACAGTGGGGATTCTGAAAGCGTGCTTCAGCACTACAATCTCGTTCGTGGCCCCAGCAGGCCAACGAGGTCGATCTGGTCGTGGCATTCGACGGCAGCTGCTGTTTCAGTTTAGGAAATGTGTTGAGGTAGCGTATGAGATGATCGGACGGCAGATTCGGCAAAGACAATGTGAGCTTTGCGTCCGGTTTCGCTTGGGCCATTGCCATAGACAGCAGCCCGTTGAGTATTAGCAGGTGCAGCATAACTTTAAGTACTTCGTTGCAGGTTTCGATTTCTAATTGCAAACTTTCGCGACTCGATTTCACAGCCAGTGCCACGGCGAGAGCATCTTAAACTGCATTTCACGGCCAACAATGGCAGCGGCCCGTTTTGATGATCTCACTCGGCACAGCTTCGTCGCGGCTGCGCAGCGTCCGTTAATGGATAAGATGATTATGATTAAGTTAATTCAACAGCCGCCGCCGCTGTCCATCATAGTGATGAAGAACACGGGCGAAAACCTGCTCTTCGACCAAAACAACTGTTTACAATTAGGGTTGCCAGATCAAGTGCATTAGTCCAATGCAACCGTATTTTTAGTCTTCCCAATTCAGCTATTTTAAAGCTAGTTTGAACAGTGTGCAAAACATGCACTCCCAAACGAAAAATGTACAGCTCTGTCTGTGATAATAATATGATAATTAACTCAGGTGGCGATAATTGCGGTTTTTTCATATCTTTTTCATGTTTTCCCACAAAAAACAGCTAGTTTTCCCAGCTGTTGCCTGCACTGGTATCATACATATATTGCGCAAACTCCACAGTGAATGTGTATGTACGCAATGTATTTGCATTTTAATTGCATGGATTGAATGTCGAACCAAATGAATGAATAAATTTGTGCTTTATATTCACATCTCGAATCGGCATAGCTTGCAATCCGTCGGTTTTGTGCTTTAAACTACTGTCCCATAAGCATTTTTATACATTTAAATGGTATAACGCTGCCAGACTGGTGGACGAAATCAGCTGATGGGAAGGAATTTCATTTGACTTTTTTTTGACTTTGATACATTCTATTGAATTGAAGAAAAGTCACGATGCGGAATGTGCCGAAATCGTGAGTAACGACTAAATGTTAAATTACACAAAACAAATGATAGATGTTCATTTATTCCTATCCCAGACTCGGTCTCTCCATCACAACTCCAGGCGGCAGCAGCTTGGGAGCTCCGGACAGTGGCATATCTACAAGTGGACGCCACAATAGTTTGGAGGATATAAATCTGGACCAGTTCCTGAAGACATCCAACTACGAGGACACTGTAAAGCAGCTGGACATTTACTATGGCATCGGTAAGAACTTTGACGGGAAATTACATTATTTATATAACCTTGGGGCTGGCTGTAGGGCAGCGCAGCCAATTGACCATCAATTAATACCACCAAACGACGCTATGCTGACACGTCTATTAATAAGCATCGCGAATACCTTCGCTCTTCCATTGTAAACAGAATCGTTTGTTTATTTGCATTCGCTATCAGGCAAACGCAAAGACGCTACCGCTGTCAGTGTCACTGTCACAGACATATTGGAATTAAGAGATAACATCTGAATGTAACACTTTCCCTTCACAGTAAAGCGGCAGTTATTGCGCTATCAGAGCCCCATCACTGGCCTGTTCCCGGTGATGAGCACCGATCAGGTGGTGGGCTCAGTGCGTGACAGTGTTTATTGCGCTTCCGCCGTGTGGAGCTTGTACCAGGCCTACAGACGCATCGATGATGACCGCGGCAAGTCCTACGAGCTGGGCCAGAGCACTGTCAAATGCATGCGCGGCATATTGGAGTGCTGGGTGAAGCAGGCCTTGCGGGTGGAGCTGTTCAAGCAGCGTCAGTCCAACACACATGCCCTGCACAGCAAGTTCCAGCTGCATACGGGCGAGAAGATCTACCCGGACGAGTTTTATAACCATCTGCAAATCGATTGCGTGAGTCGAATTAATGATTTAACCTGCAACAGAAGATTTAAACAATTATTTATCCTCGTTTAGGTGTCTCTCTATCTACTGTTCCTAGTCCAGATGATAACCTCTGGCCTGCAGATCATCTACACCCACGACGAGGTGGCCTTTGTGCAAAATCTGGTGTACTATGTGGAGCGTGCCTATCGCACGCCAGACTTTGGCATGTGGGAGAGGGGCTCCAAGTACAACAATGGCACGCCCGAGATCCATGCCTCCTCCATTGGCATGGCCAAGTCAGCCTTGGAGGCCATCAACGGATGCAACTTGTTTGGCGAGAAGGGAGCATCCTGGAGCGTTGTGTATGTAGATATCGATGCTCACAATCGCAACCGCAGTATTTTCGAGACCATGCTGCCCCGTGAGTCCAGCTCAAAGGTTAGTGGATGCTGGCATCATCGACTTCTGTTCTAATCATTTTCCTCCTGGTCAGGGAGTGGATGCCTCGCTGCTTCTGACCCTCTCCTTCCCAGCCTTTGCCTCACACGAAGATCGGCTCGTGGAACAAACTAAACAGAATGTGGTCAATCGACTACGGAGCAAAATGGGCTTTAAGCGCTTCACCCGAGACGGGTTCCTCAGCAAGAACGAGGACAAGACGCGTCGCTACTATCACTCCGGCGAGCTAAAAGAGTTTGAGGGCCTTGAATGCGAATGGCCGCTCTTCTTCATAGCCATGATCATCGATGGTGTGTTCAAAAACAACAACGAACAGATCGAAGAGTTCCAAAATGATCTGCGCCGCTGTCTGCGTACTGATGCCAACGGAGATCCCGTGGTGACCATGTACTATGCCCCCGATGGGGACGGCTCCTATATGCGTGCTCCATCGCAGTCGCTGTTCCTTTGGGGCCAGTCCTTCTTCATCATTGCGCAGCTGCTCACCGCTGGCCTCTTGCACATCAATGAATTGGATCCCATCCGTCGCTACTTGCCCAGCTATAATCGTCCCAGGCGAGCGGGTCGATATTCAGCCTTTCAGGTGAGTTGGAACCGGAGAGTCGTGGGGTAATTGAACGCTATGAAATATTAATTAAATTGTAACAAAGGAGATTTCTTGAATTCCCACCATAAACTATTGTTTTGGAAGCGTATTTCATAGCGTCGGGCTACTGGGTTTTCAACTACCCCAATCGGCGGGGATCCTTGCTGCTGCCACTGATGAGTTTTGTGTGTCTGCCGTTTGTATTTGCGTTCGCCTCCCCAATGGGAATCTTAGTACACGATTTTGTTTTACTCCCCTCA